GGAAGTCCCAAGCGAGAGCGCGAATCCTCAATAAAATGCGAGGAAGTCTCGGGCGGGAGCGGGGTCTTGGCTAAATTGTAAGGAAGTCTCAGGCGGGAGCTATTATTGTTGTAACCGGGGGGCCAGGGGCCCAGTTTGAGCAGGAAGACTTCCCCTGTCAAACAAGGTGCGAGCGTCGAGGGGCACACTTTGATTGAGAAAAAACCGTATGCACCGGTGAGGGGGGATCAACAATAATTACTCTTCAGAAATGAGAACTCAACAACAACAACGAAATAATAACCACGCATCGATCAAATCGGTTACCCGCCACCCACTAGATCTGGACAGACGGGCGAAACTGAGAGATGCAACCGCAAGGTATATTTCAGCAAAGAGCGAAAATCAGCCGCCCCTTCGTCGTGCGTGAGACGCTGTCGTCGTCCCCGTCGTCGTCGTCGTCGCCGTCGCCGTCGCCAGTCATCAGTCCCACCTCTTGGGCCATCTTGGGGCGATCTCCATGACCTCTTGGGCCGTCCTGGACACTGCTAAGACCCAAAAACGAATATGCTAAACACCTACGGCTTCCTGAAGGAATGGTACGGTCTTCGCTTCTTGGGGCCGTCTTGGGGGTCTTCTTGGAGCCGTCTTGGGGCGCCTTCGGCCGTTTGGAAGCCATCTTGGGCCGTCTTGGAATCCCTTGAAACTCATCTGGAAGCGCTGGGGGAGCCCGGGGGACTCCGCGGAAGCTCCGGGGAGGCTTAGGGGAGGCCCCGAAGGGGAGGGGACCCTCCTTATCCTCCTCCTCGTCCTCATCCTCGTCCTCGTCCTTATCGTCATCACCCTATTCGGCGTCATCATCCTCAAAACCACCGCCGCCGTCTAATCATCATCGTCAGCATCATGCCCACCATCTTCACCACCATCATCGTCCCCTTCCTCTCTCCTCTCTGCCCCATCCTCCTTTATCGTCATCCTCCTCCTCCTCTTCATCCACATGTACATTCCCATCCACATCCTCCTTCCGCCCCTGCCACATCCACCTCCTCCTCCCCCTCCTCCTCCTCCCCCTCCTCCTCCTCCCCCTCCTGCTCCTCCTCCTCCTCATCCTCATAATCGTCACCATCACCACCACCAACATCCGTCCAATACCCGCGTTTTCTCAGAAAAGTCCTCCCTATCGCACTCCCAGGCATGCGGGTAGGGCGGGCCAAGCGTTTCGCCTGAGACTTCTTAACCATCTATGAATACATGAACCTAAAACTTGCAAATTGCAACAGCGTAACGGGTGGGAGGGGGGTCACGATGTGGCTCTCGCCTCAACGCCACGCACATTTGCCTTGAAAGTTCAAAGCCGTTCCACGGATGGAGGGGAGTATCGTTTTCAGAATGTGGTGGCTGTCGTCTTAACGCCACGCGCATTCGTGCTAACGCTTGGAAAGTCTGCAACGGTTTCAAGGGTGGAGATGGGGTCGAGTTCAAAATGTGGCTCGCGAGGTTGCGCAGCGACGGATGAGCGGTGTCGTCAACATGTTGCTATCGCCTGAGCTCTGCGCGCAGTCGCATTTAACGTCTGGAACATTTTGACAGGTGAAGGGGGCTAGTTTTGAAATTCGTGTTATCGCCTTAAAGCCGCGCACCGTCGTTTTAGAAGTGTGCGCTAGCTTCGCGGACGGAGCGCTGTTCCTTTTGAAAATGGGGTTCTCGCTCCAACACCGCGCACGTTCATTTGTGTTACCGCAACTCTTCGCACATTGAAGAACCGCTTTTGTCAAAATGGAGATCTTGTCTGCGACTTAGTTGAATTGAGGAGCCAAATTTTCAACGCACGTAGCGCTACACGGATACGTGGCAGCTCCTTTTCAAAATATAGCTGTCACTTGAGACTCCCTCGAAAAGGCATGACCACAAGTGGGGCCCTCGTCAAAATTCAAAGCCCTACAGTGGTCTTTCACCGGGAGGGGGGCGCTTCTTGCAGTGAGAAGAAGGCTGGCATGGACGTACGAAGTGGGGACTTGGGACGGAAGGGTGTCTTGCAGCATCGCTTATGCATATTTGGTTTACTCTAGTCCTCCTTCCCCTCCTCGTGATCCCCAAACCTTCCCACCCCTCCCCTACGCACAACTCCGTTTCACTCCCCTCGCCTCCTCCCCATTCCATCCAGAGGCACCAAGCTACTATCCGCAATCCAGGTAGATTGACGGCATGGCCACTGTTCTACCTTACTCACTTGTCCAGTCGCTCCATGCCCGCTCCTTCTCCTCCGCCTCGTCATCCCTTCAAATATAGTTTTCATCCATCCTTCTTTGTCCATCCCGCGCCAACATGGTATTCACTCTTTTGATGGCCCTTCCTGCCTCCTGCGTCTTACCTCTTCCCTCCGCCTATTGTTGCAACTCTTGTTGTTAATAATATGTGTAGTCTTCAACCCTTCTCCCTCAAACTCCCTCCTCGTTCTCCCTACTCATCCCTCCTCCCTACTCTTTCTTTATTCCGCCTCCTTCTCCATCCTCATTATCCCTCCTCCTGACTTCATCTTCCCTCCTTCTCCCCTTGTCCTCCCTACTCCTTCTCTGCTTTCGCAGAGCCTAAGATACGCACATGTTCGGCCGCTCACGCTCGACACTTCTTGGGGGTCCACCAGGAGCGAACCCTGCTGCACTTCGGAGACGACGAACGTCGCCTCCCTCCTGCGCACTGCTCCTTTTCCTCCTAAGGCCGTCTGCGGCGACGACACAAACGAAAAGCGACCAGACCGACAACGAGACCAAAATCAACTGTGACCGCCAGGCCGCAGGCAGCCTCGAAAGGCTCAGCAACGCGCAGCCACGGCACACGCGGACGACCGATCACCGAACCGACCGCGCGCGCCACCGACCGCGACGCAGCCGAGCCGACCGAACCGCGGCCCTCACCCCTGCTCCCGTTCCCTCCCCTCCTCATCCGACAGCGGAGGATACAATGAGGTCCGGCGGTTCTGGAGAATGTTTCGGGCGCCGCGGCCTTCTCAGAGCGTTCCGGAACGCTCTGAGAGGAATCTGGAACGCTCTGGAACGGATGTATCCTCGTCCTAACGACTAGAGGCCTCCTAGATGGGGTCCGCGTAGATGGGGCCCGAGGATCTCGTAGCATCGCCGATACATCGGCGATGTATCGCCGATGCATCGGCGATGCATCAGCGATGCACTGGCGACGTCGGCGATGCATCGGCGACGTAGACGTGGAGAAAATCGGGCACCACATCGAGCCGCATCACCAATGCATCGGCGATGCGGAGCGATGATTTGACCCCATCTACTCGGACCCCATGTGGGACGCATAAATTATCTTCGTCCTAGGCACGGGGGGAAGGACAGGGAGGAGGAGAAGCAGGAAGGGGAGCTGCAACGCGATCGGGGAGGAGGAGGAGGAGGAGGAGGAGGAGGAGGAGGAGGGTCGCACACAGTGCGCATTGGGTCTACAACAGGGTACGACCCTTTCAGATGAATAGACTTTGCAAGCCTGTATCTTCAGACTTACTCTGCGCTGCGGCGTTTTTGTTCTGACAGGCCAGCCTTCAGGCCAGCCTAAAACTACCCTTTCCGAGTCAGGTTCCGCCTACCTCCTTCATTCCTCCGCCCTCTACTCCCACAACCTAAGTGTGGGGTACGCCAACAAAACCCTGGGCCGCAGCCCAAGCATTGCTAGTCTATGTACATCAATTTACAAGATAAGCCCCCACTGAGCGGGCTGATGTGCCATAGGCTGATTTTTTGGAGCCACACCACACACGTGAGCAATCCGCCCACGTGTAAGAAAATCTAGCACAAACTGCCTACTAACCTGCAGCTACTACCAGCCGCACATGCCCGACTACTTTTTTGGCCTCACAGCGGACAGTGGATCCTCACTCCACTCGCTCCTGTCCACTGATGCGACGTCCACCATTTCTGACCTCCGGCGTGCTGTCCGACACGGTGGTGGCCCCCCACTCTCAGGAACAGGTTTCGGGCACGCCTTCAAAACCCTGGGTCGCAGCCCTAGCATTGGAAGCCACCTTTTGTCGAATACAGTTCGCACTTGGGTCCCCTACAGGGTACGACCCAATCAGATAACTAGTCTTACAGGCCTGTATATTCAGGCTCTACGCTGCGCAGCCGCGTCCACTTCTGCTCGACAGGCAAGCCTTCCAGGCCAGCCTGTAATCTCTTCCGTGTCGCTCTCCCACTCGCACTCCTACCCCTCACTCCAGACCTACGCACGGTGAAGGCGGCCCCTCCACCTAGGAACCGAAGGACGGGCATACACCTGGCTAAAAGAGCGGGCCTACTGCTGGCAAGAGGGAACAACACACAAATCTTACTATGACCAGTCCTGGACCTAGTTTGTTACAACACGGGCAGCACCCCCAGAACTGCAAGAAAAAGGGATGGGTTGGGGCATGAATTGGGGGGGATAAGCACTACGGTTTGGGGCACTCCAAAACCCTGGGCAGCAACCCTAGAACTGCTCACAGTGCCGTTTGTTTCTTACGCATGGCGATCGTTGCACTTGCCTTGAAAAATTTGCATACAGAGACGGCACGACCAACGAACCTACCTCTTTACTCTGTTACCTCGGTTGCTTAATCCAGGTCCGTGCCGTCATTCAGTATTTGTCCAGCTGCGACGACCTCACCCTCGATCTAAGGTTGTTACCATACTTGTTTTCATGTGTAATTGTTGTTGTTATCCAACTAAGGTGAGCGTTGTCACAACTGGCGGGCGCCTACTCTCACCAGTAGTCTCGCCCAGCGCTCGCTCTCTTACTTTTTTCCGCGGCGCCCGCCAGGTGTTTTTTTGACCCGAGCCGTTTTTTCCGCCACCACTAACGCCAAAGCTTCACGCCGGGGTTGGTCGAACGTAAAAAGAGGAGGAGGAGGAGGAGGAGGAGGAGGAGGAGGAGGGGGAGCCGCAGCATGATCGGGAAGGAGGAGGAGGAGGAGGAGGGGAAGGCCGACCACCGCCACCACGACGGCAAAAGGTGGTGACGCGGTGCGGCTCCGGGTCAGCCCTGCACGTGCGGTAAAAGATGCCGTCCATCAGCACGAGTCCTCGACGGGAGGAGGGCGGTGGGAGGGGGACAGCCTCGGCCTCCACGGTGCGGGCGTGCGGCCAGCTGGGATCCGGATCTGATCAGATCCCAGGTCCAGCTGAGAAGTGGGAGCCAGAACAGAATCCAATGAGGTCAATTAGAATTCAGATCGGATCTGGATCGGGATCTGATCTCATAAGATCAGATCCCAGATCCAGATCAGATCCCAGATCCCATCTGGATTAACACGCCACTCCCTGCGGGAGTGGCGTGAGAAGTGGTAGCCAGGACAGAAAGGCTCGAATAGGGGATCGACTACAGAATTGATTTACTCCAAAACTGGCTCTCCCGCCAAATGCTCGTAGATCTACGGGACAGTGTACATAGTTGTTCGTAGATTCGACGTCAAAACCAATTTTGGGGTACATCAATTCTGTATTCGATCCCCTGCTCGAAGGCTGGGAGTTCGATAACTTGGCCAGGAGAGGGGCACACGAGCAGGGGGGCCGGCGCAACAAAGAAGGTCCGGTGCAACAGCTAGGGCAGGACACCAAGCCGCCCAGCCACACGACTGACCAACAGACCACCTGACCACCGAGCACCCCTTGAGCATGCTGTCGGGGGCTCCGGCGGGCGCAGCGCGTGAGGAGGAGGATACCTGGAGGAGGGAGGGTAGGGGAAGGATTATATGGCACTCTACGGAGGGAGACCACTGTCCGATCTCTGCTCAAACCTTTCTGTCCTGGCCTCGAATCTCAACGTGCTCATCAGAGCCTGACCTAAACCCGGGTTCGCTCTGGTACGGCCCGGCCCAGCAGATACGGCGGCACTCGAACGCCGCAGAGACTCGACTCAACACCTGCGAAGGTGAGGGGACGGAGGAAGAAGAAGAGAAAGGAAAGGAGACGGAGAAGAGGAGCCGCTTGCCCCGCTCACTGAACCGCTGAGACGGCACGGTAGCCACAAGACCTCTGGCCAGATCAGACCACCGGCTCACCCGATCGCCAGACAACCCGCCCGCCAGACCATCGGCCCGCCTTGCCACAGGAACTCCAAACAGACAGGCAACAAGGCCGTCGGAGCACCGAATCGGTGAGCCACCAGATCCCCGCGGTCACGGTCCAAGAACGCACAGCTAGAAGAAGAGAAACTACACAAGCACATACTTTCGAGGGTCTACACAGGCTTCTTGGATCGGCTCCAGAGGCGCCACCAGATGGGTCCAGCGCCGACCCAAGAAATCCGCACGGACCTCCAGCAATTTCTCTATGTTCATGGTGCGTTCCCTGGCGTCGGGATGGGGACGGCAGTAGGACGCGGACACACACCCCAGAGCGCGCAGGAGGTCGCAGGCTGCACCCCACAGCACGCACCCCAGGGCTCAGGCTGCACCCCATCTATGACCTCGGGCCTCGGCTGGCTTGCAATCGTGAGGGCCTCAGAATGTTGCGCGTGCCGCTCGTGCACTCCTGCAAGCGCTGGGCACGCGAAAATTGGGAGATCATGGAGGGACGGAGAGAGAGGAGAAGCATGGGCCATGATGCCTGGGAGACCTGATCCTGGCCCCGCCCAGGATGTCCACATGTTCCTCAGCCCTCACCCCCCCCCCCAATTGGACGCCCCCAACGGATGCAGGGCCCATGGCGGACCTGGCCAGGAGGGAGAGAGGAACAGCAGGAAGGAAAGAATGAAGGAGAGAAGGAAGGAAGGAAGGAAGGAAGGAAGGAAGGAAGGAAGGAAGGAAGGAAGGAAGGGAGGAGGAAGGAAGCACGGAGGAGGGAGGCGGGGCCTGCCACCAAAAGAAGGTACAGAGGAGGGAGTCCAGTGATTGCAATGATGACGAACAGAAACGCCATCATCACGGCCACGTCACCTTCCCGCTGGCAGCTTCCGCAGGCGACGCATTGGAAGTCCCTACCATCGCCGTCGTGGTCCACGTCGTCGCCGTCCTCCTCGTCGTCGTCATCGTCGTCATCGCCATCATCTTCGTCGCCCGTCGTGACTACCACAGCGACTGAAGCCTGTGTACACATTAGGACATGACATTCCGAGGCACAGTGGCGTGCTAGGCCGCAAGTGTGAATGATCCGTCTCGTGAGGGCATCCGTGGAAGGTGTCAAAACCCTTAAAAAGCCCTTAGAAGCATCGCATGCCACTCAAAAACACGACGGGCGATATGTTGGACAAGCTTGTACGGGAGTGTGCCCCATGGCGCGTTAGGCGTGGTAGAATGCCAAGTGCGGTATGGTCTGGTAGGTTTCTGTAATCCTACAAGCCCTTTAGGGCGCGAGTGTTTCAGCGCGCTTCCTCTTCCAGCCCCCGTCTTTCCCTTCGGGGAAAGGCTTATCATTGTTACAAACGCCCCTTCCCCCACCCGACCGGCGACAAGCCCAGGACACTGCCAAACCCCCCCCCGCCATCCCTTGCAAAAAAAGCATCAAATGCATATTGCACCAAAATCTGGATCATGCGCTGGCGCCCCGCGACCACTTTGCATTGGTTTTTGATGAGGACGGCGGGGGGGCGGCACGTTGCCTGCTGTGGAATGCCAAACCCCCCCCACCATCCATTCAAAAAACCCAAAATACATGATGCATTCAAGTCAGATCATGCGCGGGCGCCCCGCGATCAATTTGCATCAGTTTTTGAAAAGACGTCGGGGAGGCCAGCATAGTGCCTGCAGCGCGCAGGCCCACGATCTCTTTCAAGAACAAATGAAAAATCACTGCGGGTGCACACACACACACACACAATACACACTGCTGGTAACCCAGCCGCCACTGTGCATACGCCTTTGACGAAGACGATGGGGAACGACAGATTGACAAATGTGGCGCACCTGGAGCGCGTGGCGCACCTCGCATGTGCGGCGAACATCGCAGGCGTCGCGCACCTGGCTGGCGTCTGCATTTGTTCCCGACGGTTGTCGATGGCTGCTGCCCATGTTGAGATTCGCATGCTACTTATGTTGTGGGAGGGCGGGCGGGAGCGAGCGATTGAAAAACGACCCCTCCCCCACACGATGAGCAGCCATCCCGAACCCCTGCCAACTCCCCCAAACTTCCGTTTCAAATTGCAAAACGAAACAACTTGTGCCTCTTTATCTGGAGCATGCGCGGGCGCCCCGCAACCAATTTGCACTGGTTCTTGACAGGGACGGCGAGGACTCTCTTATATTGCCTGCTGCGCGCAAGTCCGCCATCCATGTCACAGAAAAATACAAAATACACTTCGCCTCCGAACATGGAGCATGTGCGGGCGCCCCGCGACCACTTTGCATTGGTGTTTGAAAAGAGGGGGGGGGGCCTCACATTGCTCGCTGCACGCGGGCCAACCATCCCTTTTCAAAAGATCAGCCAGGCGAAGAAACCAACCATATGCAGTTGTGAATACCGCAATTGTGGGTATCGTCTTCCGTGGAACTACTGGGCGGGGGAACCGCATGCGAACTGGGCCACTGGCACCTTCGGTGGGGTTCCCTATGGGGCCACCAAACGTTGTACTGGGTGGGGGGACGCATGCGAATTCTGCCACTGTGACCTTCGGCGGAGCTCCCCCGGGGCCACGAAACGGTGTCCTGGGCGGGGGGGACGCATGCGAACTGCGCCACCGGGACCTTCGGTGAGGCCCCCTCCGGACCATGAAACGCTGCATTGAGCGGGAGGGACGCATGCGAACTGCGCCACTGGGACACCCGGTGGAGCTCCCTATGGGGCCACGAAACGCTGTACTGGTTGGGGGGACGCATGCGAACTGCACCACTGAGACCTTCGGTGGAGTTCCTTCTGGGGCCACGAAACGCTGTACTGGGTGGGGGGGACGCATGCGGACTGCGCCACTGGGTCCTTTGGTGGAGCTCCGGCTGGGGCCACGAAGCGCTGTCCTGGGCGGGGGAACCGCATGCCAACTGCGCTACTGGGACCTTCGGTGGGATTCTCTCATGCAAATTGCACCACTTGGACCTTCGGTGGAACTCCCTCTGGGGCCACGAAGCGCTGTACTGGGTGGAGAACGCATGCGAACTGCGCCACTGGAGCCTTCGGTGGAGCTCCGTCTGGAGCCACGAAACGCCGTATCGCGTGGGGGGGGGGGGCATGCAGACTGCGCCACTGGGACCTTCGGTGGAGCTCCCTCAGAGGCCACGAAGCGTTGTACTGGGTGGGGGGATGCATGCGAACTGCGCCACTGGGACCATTGGTGGAGCTCCCGCTGGGGCCACGAAACGCTGTCCTGAGCGGGGGGAGGCACGCGGACTGCGCCAGTGGGACCTTCGGTGAAGCTCCGCCTGGGGCCACGAAGCGCTGTACTAGGTGGGGGGGGCGCGTGCGAACTGCGCCACTGGGACCTTCGTTGGAACTCCCTCTGGACCCACGAAACGCTGTCCTGGGGGAGCCGCATGCGGACTGCGCCAGTGGGATCTTCGGTGGAACTCCCTCTGTGGCCACGAAGCGCTGTTTTGGGTGGGGGGACGCATGCGGACTGCGCCATTGCTGCGACCTTCGGTGGAGTTCCCTCTGGGGCCATGAAACGCTGCATTGGGGGGGGGGGCATGCGGACTACAGCATTGGGACCTTCAGTGGAGCTCCCTCTGGGGCCACGAAACGCTGTGCGGGGGGGGGACGCACGCGGACTGCGCCACTGGGACCTTCGGTGGAATGCCCTCTGGGACCACGAAGCGCTGTGCTGGGTGGGGGGGGACGCACGCGGAATGCGCCACTGGGACCTTTAGTGGAACGAAACGCTGCACTGGGCGGGAGAGACGCACGCGAACTGCGGAGGGAGGAGTGGGGAGGACGGGAAGAGGAGAGGAGAGGAGAGGAGAGGAAAGGAGACGAGAGGAGAGGAGAGGAGAGGAGAGGAGAGGGGAGGAGAGGAGAGAGGAGAGGAGAGGAGAGGAGAGGAGAGGAGAGGAGAGGAGAGGAGAGGAGAGGAGAGGAGAGAGAGGAGAGGAGAGGAGAGGAGAGGAGAGGAGAGGAGAGGAGAGGGAGGAGGGGAGAGTAGAGGAGAGGAGAGGAGAGGAGAGGAGAGGAGAGGAGAGGGGAGGGGAGGGGAGGAGAGGAGAGGGGAGGGGAGGGTAGGAGAGGAGAGGATACAGGAGAGGGGAGGGGAGGGGGCAGGGGAGAGGAGAGGGGAGGAGAGGAGAGGGGAGGAGAGGAGAGGGGAGGAGAGGGGAGAGGAGAGGAGAGGGAGGAGAAGAGAGGAGAGGAGAGGAGAGTAGAGGAGAGGGGAGGGGAGGGGAGGGGAGGGGAGGGGAGGGGAGGGGAGGACAGGAGAGGAGAGGTGAGAGGAGAGGAGAGGAGAGGAGAGGAGAGGAGAGGAGAGGGAGGGAGGAGAGGAGAGGAGGGGAGGGGAGGGCAGGGGAGGGGAGGGGAGGGAGGGGAGGGAGGGGAGGGGAGGGAGAGGGGAGAGGAGAGGAGAGGAGAGGAGAGGAGAGGAGAGAGAGAGAGGAGAGGAGAGGAGAGAGGAGAGGAGAGGAGAGAGGAGAGGGGGAGGGGAGGGGAGGGGAGGGGAGGGGAGGGAGGGGAGGGGAGGGGAGGGGAGAGGAGAGGAGAGGAGAGGAGAGGAGAGGAGAGGTGACGAGAGGAGAGGAGGAACGCGGGGCGTTGTCTCTTCAAAACGAGGAGACCCAACACCAAAAGATAGTTGGGGAATACAACTTGCCCCCGCAATGTGACCCCATATGATAATATATGTTGGTTGCCCTTCGTTCTTTCCCCCGTCGCCATGGCCGAAGCCCCCCGTCTCGCCCTCTGCCGCGCCTCGTCATCATCCATATTGTCGTCCTCGTCCTCCGTCTCCTCCTCCTGCTCGCCCTTTTGGGTCAATACCTCCTCTCCCTGTTCGCCCTTTTCTTCCTCCTCCTGCTCCCCCTCTTCCTCCTCCTCCACCTCCTCCTCATCCTTTTCCTTTCCCCCCGCCCCCCCTTCTCATCTTCACCCCGCCTGCTATCCGTATGCGCCAGTCCTGTCTGCATGCTGATGTTCCTCGGCGCCCTCGCCGCCGTGCGTGGCATGGGCGCGTTCTCCGATGGCAAAATCGCGATTCCGTCGGGGCAGCGGCCGTTGGGACAACCCCGCGAGCCGCAGGGGCGCGAGAGCAAGCCGTTGGGACAAACCCCAAAGGCACCGAGTTAGTCGCGGCGCGCTCAGGAGGGAGGCAGCACGATGTCCAGCGCTGCCGCGAGCTGCTCCGCCTCAGCCCTGGAGCCCACCGCTCTCTCGCCGAAGTCCTCTAGCGACCTGTGACTAGGACGGGGGCTCCCGCATGAGACCCCCTTGCAACTCATTCACAGACGCGCGAGGATCGCCTCGTGATGTGCCCCTTTGGGGTGCTCAAGTGCTTTGACTGGTAAGAGTTTGCCGATGACCCGCTCGGATTGCCAATGAGGTGCGGGTCCCATCAATTAGGGAGGCCCCCGCCTGACGTCCTCGCTATCCACTCATATTCCTCCATATTCAGCCCGGAGGAACCGAAAAGTGACGACAACTACCAGATCCCGATGACCCGCTCGGATTACCAACATGAAATGCGGACCCCATTGGGAGGGGGGCTCCCGCCTGAGACTTCCTCGCAATACACTCACAGACGCCCCGCTCCTTGGCACGAAGTGCCCAGCTTTTTCACTTGATTTTCACCCCCGCCCCCGCGCATTCCACCACCTCCACTTCTCCAGCACGCCGCGCAGGGCCCAAATGATGCGGGGAGATGTTCCTGTTTCTTCCGGCTCCCAAGTCGCCGAAGCAGACAAAGCCGATGCGGCTTCCAATCGCGGCCGCTTTGCGCGGGGCGAGATACGCACGCGCGCTGTCGCCGCGCCCTGCGGCAGATACGCAGCCCGCGGATGCCCCTACAGGGGGCACCGCTGCTTAGAGCCAATTTGCACGGGCATGGAAATTATCCGCCGACCCCTTGGGGTTCATCGGCGTGTGAGATCTTCCCCCTCCCCAAACCCCTCCCCCAGGAGCCCGGTCCGGTCGAACTGGAGGGGGGGGGGTCCGGCCGGTTCCCCCGGGGGGGTCATCCGCTCCCGAAAATCCTGCAAGGACTCCTCCGGTGGCCTCGAAATGGCCCCAGGACGGCCCACGAGGGCCCCGGGACGCTAAACGAGCGCTTCAAGACGCCCAAGATGGCCCCAAGACAGGCCAAGAGGCCTCCAAGACGACCCCAGAGGTCCCAAACAAGCCTCCCAAGAGGGCCCCGAGAGGCTAAAATTGTTGATGTTCCATTGTGTTTTTCTGTGTTATTTGCCTTTTCGCCTTTTCGGCTTCCCGACGTTCCAAGACGGCCCAAGAGGCCCCGAAGACAGCCCCAAGACGGCCCAAGAGGCCCCCGAGACGGCCCCAAGACGGCCCAAGATAGCTCCAAGACGGCCAAAGAGGTCCCCAAGACGGCCCAAGAGGGCTCCAAGACGGCACCACGAGGGGCCCCAGAGGGCGACCAAAAATTCAAAACATCTAGCTTTCCGCCCCCAGGAGCCCCAGGGGGCCCCAAGAGTGCCCCAAGAGGCCGCCAGAGGCTCCCAAGAGGCCCCCAAGACGCCCCAAGGAGCCCCCAAGAGGCGCCCAGGAGGCCCCAAAAAGACCCCCAGAAGCTCCGAAACGGCTCCCAAGTGGCTTCAAAACTGCCTTCCAGAGGCCCCCGAGAGGCGTGGCGCGAGATCCCGATACACATGCAAGAAGCCTCCAACCCAGAACAATTACCCAGAGCCTCCTCTCTGTGTCCCCCTCCTCCTCCTCCCCCTCCTCCTCCTTCACCTCGGCCCCCAAGTGGTTTCAAAACTGCCTTCCAGAGGCCCCCGAGAGGCGTGCCGCGAGATCCCGATACACATACAAGAAGCCTCTAACCCATAACCCATAGCCCAGAGCCTCCTCTCTGCGTCCCCCTCGTCCTCCTCCTCTCCTCCTCCTCCTCCCCCTCCTCCTCCTCCACCTCCTCCTCACCCCCCTCCTCCTTCTCACCCCTCCACCTCGTCCTCATCCTCTTCGATTATTGTCCCCCCCATCCTCCACCTCACCCCCCATGCTTCTCTCCCCGTCCTCCTTTTCCTTCCCAGCACGCGCGCTCGATTGGTCATCATTTGCATGTCTTGCACTTCAGGGTGCCCTTCTTTTCGTCGCGCGCGACATTGGTAGGGTTCACGGAGAACGCCGACTTCGGTAGTCTTCTCTTGCACGGGCCGCTACACTGATACGCAGGAGTCCCAAGGGGTCGGCGGTGCGGCGTAAGCCAAAGAATCTGAACGATCGTGGACATGCCTGCCTGCAGCGTGGCCGTTTCATATTCCCCCGAGCGCCTTGTTCGGGCGCCTCCATATATAGCGCCCGCCCTCGGCTGGCGCTCCTGGCTGCTGCCAGATTCGGGCCGCGTGTGCTCCTCTGAGCACGGACGGGTTCACTTCATATCTGTCAGTTGCCCGACTTGGGTAGAGAAGGTGTTGCACCCCCCTGGTGGTTTTCCCTGCAGCCTGCGTTTGCTCACCGAGGCAGCGCACCCTGCCGGCCTCGCGCTGAGTCCTCACGCATGAGTTCCAGGTTCGCCTCCAGCCGCCTCGCATATCATCAGCATCATCAGCATCATCAGCATCATCACCATCATCAGCAGCAGCATCATCAGCATCATCAGCATCATCATTATATCAGCTGGTTATCATCCTCATCATCCCCATCATCATCATCATCATCATCATCATCATCATCATCATCATCATCATCATCATCATCATCAGCATCATCATCATCAACAGCATCATCATCATCAGCATCATCATCATCAGCATCACCACCACCACCACCACCATCATCATCATCATCATCATCATCATCAGCATCAGCATCATCATCATCAGTATCATCATCATCAGCATCATCATCAGCATCAGCATCATCATCATCATCAGCAGCAGCAGCATCATAATCGTCATCATCATCAGCAGCAGCATCAGCATCATCATCGTCATCACCATAATATTCTTATTATCCAGAATAGTATTATGAATATTATTATTGTTATTATGATTAGTCTTATTATTCATAGTATTCTTACGTATTGGTACTACTCTTCTTCTTCATCATCATCATCTCATCATCGGCGGCAGCAGCATCAGCGTCAGCATCAGCAACATAATCAGCATCAGCATCATCATCATCGTCATCGCCATCATCATCAACATCATCAGCATCAGCATCAGCATAACCATCAGCATCATCATCATGATCACCATCACCATCACCACCACCACCACCACCACAACCACCATCATCATCATCATCAGCATCATCATCATCAGCATCAGCATCAGCATCAGCATCATCATCATCAGCATCATCATCAGCATCATCATCATCATCCTTCGCCTCCTCCTGGCTCGCCTCCTCCTCCTCCTACTCCTACTCCTCATACTGGACCTTATGGACAAAGGCGGCCCGACACCCAGCAATGACCCCATGGGTGGGACCCTACGGGCTGACTCTTCGGCGGAATCTCTGTAAGCGGGGCCCTCTGGCCAGCCACAGCCGGGACCCGCCGATCAGACCCAGGTCTTCACGGGATATCGTGCTCTTCCTCCCTCTGCCTGCCTTTTTTCGCTGGTGACACAACCCCAACCCTGCCCCGAAGCGTCGCCCAGACGAGGAATCGACGAGAGCACCGTGTTCACGAGCATCTGCGCGTGGGGGCTTTCGCACGGGGGTGGAAACTGGGATGGGGAAGGAGAAGACCGCGGAGGTTGAACCGAAGGCAAGGTGGACACTGAGGCAGATACAAAAATGAATGGTGACGAGCGGGCAGAGATGAAAAGATGTACATACATGGCATCGAGGCGGATACTGATATTCCCCTATCGCTGAAGACAAAGACAGGGGTAGAGGTATTGACACAAGTTTAAATTACTGGAATATTTCCGCCACTGCGCTTGCAGCGAATGGTGTGTGTCCGCAGCGACTCGCCCTCGCCTCTCAATCGCAATGCCATCTACAGCTTCGACGGCATCAAATGGTTTCACACACAGACGATCGCTTCGCGCCAAACGACGGTCACAGTGCTAACGATGACGAGCGCCAGCGTATTGTAGTCATCACGCAATATCATGGTTGGACCTGGTCGGCGAATCGACCCTGCTGGAATGCGACCCGCGTACGGGCATTCCGCCACAGTGACGCATAGCCCGCGGCAAATTGCGCACGGGGCCTCCACGCCGGCCCCCGACCTGCCGCTCGACACGTGCATGCGCGCATTACGGTCCCAACACTCGGCGTGGCATTGGCTACCGCATTGCAAACGCCACATCTTGTCACGCGACACCAAAGCGTCAAGACATACTGCGCACAGCGTGAAAGAAGTGTCTGAAGCGACAGGCGTGTCTGCGTTGGAGCGCGCCCGCCGTTGGCGCTGCAGCGCGGTCTCGGACGGCCCATTCGGCGATGGTGGAGGCCCATCTCCAATAGCCGACCTTGGAGTGGACCTCGTCGTTGGACCCTGGCCGAGCTGGGCTTTGTTGATAATTTGCTGCCTGTGTCTGGCTGCCCAGCCCCTCGCAGCCCCCCCCGCGCCCTCCGTCGCACGCGCGCTGGCCTGCATCATCTGATAGATGTCATGCGAGTACGAAGGCGGGAGACTCATGGGTGCGTTGATCTCAAGGGCAGGCTGCTGCACCTCAGCATCAGGATCAGCTGGGGGAGGCCAGTAGGCCATGCGAGGGAACGGTTCTGCGCTCGGCACGCGCACCGCCTGGAGACGATAGAAGTCATCTGCCATGTTCCTCGCCGCCGAATTCTGGAACAACTGGCCGATCATGGGCGCGTCGTTGGCCCCTGCGAAATACTCGGGGAAGAATGGCTGATCCATTGGCGGCGCTGCCGGCGCGTGGAACAGAACTGTCAGTTACGTCCACGCCCAGCAGGCGCATCTCAGCAATTGCTGTCTGATGCTGCTGCCGCATGGACCTCTGCTGATCAGGAGCCGACTGCCTGCGCCCAGGCTGCTGCTGCGATAACGCCGCGATTGGAGAATTCAGGGGACTGCCAACGGCTCGGCTTTGATGTCGCGGGGTACTGAATGGCGTTGTGGCACTCGCAGCGGCGGCCAAGTCCGGCTGCTGACGCATCGAGGCCAATCGCTGCATCAAGTCTTCCTGGCTCGCCCCCCTGACCACATGACATCGGTTCGAACCTCGTAGGGCCAGCGTGTAATTGGGGCCTTGGTGGTCCAAAGCCCGTAGGTGGCCCCACTGGCATGCCTCCTCGGGTTGTCGCCCAAGGGTCGTGCCTCGTGGATATGTCGGATAGCGTGGAAACGTCGCGTGACGGTTGAAGCGGAGGTACCATGCACGACGACGACGACCCGGTGTCCGTTGGCAGGACAGCCGGTGGCACAGCGTTCGCGGGAATTGTGATCCCAGCAAGTGCCCAAACATCCACCAGGAGTTTCGCTGCCGAGAGGCCCGTCAAGCGTCTGAGTACCGAAAGCGTACTGCTTGACTGGCGTGAGCCACTTCCGCGAAAGATCACTGAACTTCAACTGGATCTCGGGCTCGTCCAACGAGCGGACGCACTGGGGGTTCTGCCACACGCTGATGTTGTTCCCAACCATCCTGTGGTGTTGGGTCCTCGTTTTGAAGAGACGGTCCCCGCGTTCCTCCTCTCCTCCTCCTCCCCCTCCCTCCTCCCCCTCCTCCCTCCTCCCTGCGTCTCACCCACCCAGTACAGCGCTTCGTGGCCCCTTAAGGGGCTGCACCGAAGGTCCCAGGGGCACCGCCCGCATGCGTCCGCCACCACCCAGCACAGCCATTTGCCCCCTGCGTTCCACCCACCCAGCACACCGCTTCGTGGCCCCATAGGGGGCTCCACCGAAGGCCCGAGTGGCACCGCCCGCATGCGTCGTGCTTAAGAGGAACATGATGTAGGTGGCGCCGTCAATATGGCGGCCACCTATGTTGACGCCAAAGTTGATAACGGACTCTCATGGCTATGGATGGTCCGTGCGAGACCGCTGGCAGCCTGCTGGGAGGGCGTCATATTGCCTGTGGTCACGTTGATCCAGGCATGTACTTCGCGGGCGAATTCGCGAAAAGGCACTTGACCGGCTGGGTCCCAATGAAGGCCCGTCGTTTTTGTATCGTCTCCGCCACGCATATGTCCTACCGCACACCCGATAGCGACCCATGCGAGCCCAATGAGAATAACACCAATCCAGTGACCTCGTAGGTCGTGATCGGATGTAGCCGGTCGGGACTTCCGTTGTGTAGTCGTAAGTCTGCGTGGGGTTGGAGGCGGCAATATGTCGTAGCGCATGTTTCCATGCATTATATCTTCGAAGAAGTTTCGAATTGGAGTAGGTGGGTGGACTTCAGGAGTGTAGAAGCGCAAGGATGTAGGATGTAAGTAGAAGACCCCGCCTGAGCAGAGGTATCGCTGCAAGTGTCTTTGCGATAATGCGTAGCTATATACATTCCTCCGCGCAAACCCACTGCACCCTGATTTTCCACCATATCCGCAGTCCAGCAGATAGTGCCGTGGATGGTGAGGAGTACAGCTAGAGCTGACCACCGTAGGCCAGCTCCGCTACCAAGTCTAAAGGGGGATGGGAGGCCCAGCCAGCAGCTTCGCCTTAGGCGAAGCGAAGCTCCAGCTCTGTTGTACCGTAGTAACGATAGTCCCAGTAGGAGAGGATGTGCCATCTTAAGCAATAGGAAGAAGATCCTTTTGGTCTCGATAGCGATTGTGTGCCTCGCGATGAGGCACAATCATATTTGGGCGGCCGGCCGCTTGAGCCGACGCGGCCGCGGGCGCACGCTCCTTTTCGCTCCTTGCGTCCCTCAGCTCGCTTTAGAGTGCTTCGCCTTACGCGAAGCCCAGCTCCAGCTCTGTTGTACCATAGTAACGATAGTCCAAGTAATAGGAGATCGGCGCGGGAGCGACGAGCCATCTCAAGCAAGGATGTTTTGGTCTCGATGGCTAATGATACACCTCGCGCTGAGGTGTAGTCAGATCTGGGCGGCCGGCCGCTTGAGTACAAACGGCTGCGGACACACGCTCGTTACCTCTCGCCTGTATCCCCAGCTCACTGTAGAGTCCAAGATGGCCACGTTGGCCCAAGATGGCCTCCAAGATGATCCGAGATGGCCTCCAAGTCCGCCGAAAAGAAGAGGAGATGCCTCCAAGTCCGCCCGAGAAACCTCCAAGACGGCCCAAGACAGCCCAAGTGGTGCCCAAGAGGCCTCCAAGATAGCCCAAGAAGCCTCCAAGAGGTTCTCCAGGAGGGCCCGAAGAGGCCAAAATCCTTGATGTTCCAAAGGAAGGTTTTTCGTATTTGCTCCTTTTCGGCGTTCTGACGACCCAGGACGGCCCAAGAGGCCCCAAAGATCGCCCCCACAGCGCCCAAGAGGCCTCCAAGATGGCCTCAGGACTGCCCAATAGGCCCCCAAGACGGCCCCAAGAGGGCACAAAGACGACTCTAAGACGGCCCTAGAGCACCACAAGAGGGTCCCCAGTCGGCCCAGAGAGGCCCCCGAAACGGCTTCCGACGGCGTCAGACGGGCCAGGAGCCCACCAAGATGGCCGAAGTTGGCTCGAAGCTGGCCCAAGACGGCCCAAGAGGCCTCCAAGAGGGCATCCCGGAAGGCCAGACAAGGCAAAAAACATTGATGTTCCTTTGGTTGTTGAAGGATTTTGTCATGTGCTTTTTTTCGGCCATCCGAAGGCCCAATACGGCCCAAGAGCCCCAAAAGATCGCCCCAAAATCATCCAAGAGGCCTCCAAGATGGCCCCAAGAGGCCTTCAAGACGGCCCAGGAGGCTTTTAAGACGCCCAAGATGGCCTCTAAGACGGCCCTGGAGAATTCGAAGAGGGCCCAAGTCGGCCCAGAGGGGCCCCCCAAACGGTTTCCGACGGCGTCGGACGGGCCAGGAGCCCACCAAAACTGCCGAAGATGGCCCTAAGATGGCCCAAGACGGCCCAAGAGGCTTCCAAGAGGGCCTCCAGGAAGGCCAGACAAGGCCAAAAACATTGATTCCCCATGAGTTGTTGAAGGATTGTGATATTTGCTGTTTTTCGGTCTTCCGACGGCCCGAGACGGCCCAAGTGACCCCTAAGATCGCCCAAGAGGCCCAAGACAGCCCCAAGAGGCCCTCAAGACGGCCCAAGAGGCCTCCAAGACGCTCAAGATGGCCTCCAAGACGGCCCAAGAGCCCTCCAAGGCGTCCTCCAAGAAGGCCCGAAAGGGTCAAAATGGCCTCCAGACGGCCAAGATGACCTTCAAGATGCCCACGTGTTCCCCGAAGGCCTTCCAAACCGATTCGGGGAACACATGTTCCGATAGCTTGGCAGGTCTGACCTCAACGTTCGGCCACATAGGCGCTTCCAAAAAGGCACGGGGCGGCGGTGATTCGCCGTACCCGTCTTCGATCCGCCGCCCCCTGTTGATTCATCACAGGGGTGCCTGGCGTGCTAGATAGACCCTCTCGGCTTCGGTTTTGGATCTTTTCCAAAAGACCTCCCCCTGGGGTTTCGGCCCGTCCCGCCGGCCACCCGAAAAGATTGCCCAGGACTCCTCAATCCCCCCAAAAATCATCCAAGACGGCTCAAGATAGCCTCCAAGATGGCCAGGTTGGCCCAAGATGGCCTCCAAGATGGTCCAAGATGGCCTCCAGGTCCGCCAAAGATGGTC